ACGGTTCTATTTTTCATTCTCATTCTACAAATAATGTGGCTCAAACGAGTTCTTAAAAGATTTCAACAAAAAAGTAATAAGTATAAAATTAAATTTAAATTATATAAATGAAGAATTTTAAAGAATTTAATGAACGTGTTAGCTACGTGTCGTGTTGGTATTTTTTTGAAAAATCATGAGTTGACGTACCCGACATTTATCGTGTCGGATACACGTGTCCATGTCGGTGCATTATAGTTTGATGCTGTCCACCACAATATTCTATTAATACAATATGATGTACAAAAAGCATCACCTTAAATTACCTCGATACCTAATACGTTACGATGTATCAAAAGTGCCCTTAAAAGTCTAATTTTGCAAATTAATTTACTACAGATAGGGGACTATATTTTGTCCTGTTTGCATAAAGATTGTAACTTCACAAATGCAACGTCCAATTTCAAGTTCTTAGTAGCTATTTGCACATTAGCTTTGGAAGCTTTTATATAACATGTATTCCTGTGATTACTGTGTTCCAGATGTTATGCTCGTTTGCATCCTCGTGCTGTTAACTGCAGGAAGAAGAAGTGTGGACATAGCAATCAGGTATTTACTAGTAGATGGATGTATTATTAATGATTTCAACCTAAATTGCTACGAACGAAGGTTATGTTTTTTCATTCTTTTTTGCAGTTGAGGCCAAAGAAGAAGATCAAGTAGACATGTTGTCAAGATTTTAATTGTCGCAGCTTTTCTGCCTTGAACGATTCAAACCATTTTGGATTGCATTTGCTTGTAGTGGAAGATATGAACCATTTATCAATTTGTTTTGTTTGGAATGATAAGAAAATTAAGACATTTTGTTACATATAAATGTTCCTTGTATTCTTGGTTTACATGTGCTGCTGAATTCCAGTGTTTTAGAAGTGGCGTCTGGGTGGGGCATGGGCAAAACGCTTTGCCTTACAAGTGCAAATGCATTTTATTAATTTTTTTATTTTTTAATTTTTTTAAAATCTTTTATTTGATTTTAGTTTATTAATTTTTTTTTCTTAGTTTCAAATTTTAAATGATTCTCTGTATAAAAGAAAAAAAATGATTCTATCCAATAATGGTTTAGAAAAAATTTAAGATACGGTTTTATATAAATTATGTAATTATTATTTAGAGATTTATCGTTTTGTTGGAAATTTGAAAAATGTATGTTCTTATAAATTTGTTACGTGGGGATTTGTTTTGTTAAAAGTTGAAACTATGAAAAATAGTATAATTTTTGTATTTTGGAAACTTGAAAATGATATAAGGATTTGTTTGATTGGAGGGGATTTTATGGAAAATGTCATATTAGAGGAATTTTTTTTTTACCTTGACTGTTTGATACGAAAGTGAAAATGGAGTTCAAATTTCAAGCTACAATAATTTAAAGTATGTTTTTGGCAAATTTCATGGAAAATGCAGTTTTATTGTTTTGGTGGGATTTTATTTTATTTATTTATTTATTTATTTTTAACTTATATGAAATTGATTTGTCCTTTCCACCTTTGGTATGCATAATTTTAATTATTAAACGATTTTTAGAATGATTAAGTGTATAAAATATTAAGGAAAATAAGCAACTTTTTTTATGTTTTGAGTTGTTTAAGCTCGTTAAGTTTGAAACTTGACTCCCATGTATTGTCACGCTTTATTCTTATTGTAATGGGTAATTCAAAATTCATAAATACTTTTTGTAACTTTCACTAGTGTCGAAAGAGTCTTTTTTTAAACTGTTGGGTTACGCTAATAAGAAGCATGAAATCATTGGTATCTCGTGATTAGGATTAGAGTTACATAGAGAAGTACCAATAGATTTTTCTCCTTTGCTAAAAATTACAGAATGAACGTGGTTAAGACACACTGAAAGCAATATGAAAATTACCTGAGCTTGTTAGGCCTTCTTTGGTTCAAGAGCGAGCTTTTTTTTAAGGAGTTCTCACTTCGAGCTTTAGCATGTTAGCTTCAGATACATAGATCTCCCTGTTGAAATGTTTACCTTAATTTCAAGAAATACACTTTTCAGATTCTGAGTTACAAAGGAGAATCCAAAACTTACATGCAGAATTCTGGTCAAAGGGAAAATTGAACTAGAAGTAAAAAATTCCAGTGGATTTAACTAGTGGAAAATACTTCAGGAAGTCGAATTTCAATTACAACTAGACTTTCATCATACACTACAGGATTTGGTTTGCCACAAAACAAAACTTTTCCACCACATGTTACTTTACAGATGAGGGAGAATGAATCTTAACAACAGTAATGACTAAAGTCACACCCTAATAGTTCCTATGCCGTTAAAAATCACTATTCTTGGCAGGGCGTAGAGTTTGTGAGGGTCAAGGGATCAGCCCCTTCGGGGAACCCAATGACTAGTCCATCAACATCGACTGGAAGCAGCAATTTTTGCCATAGACATCCAGTAGAAATTACATCCTGAGGCTGAACGATCATTGCTACGTCATTGTTCCTATGCAAAAGACCAAGAACACTCACAGAGCTGCCTTCCTTTATGTATCTGTCAAAATGCAGGTAAATAACAGGTTGTAAGCTCGTCTAAGCGAGAGAATGGTGCAAGCAAGTTTGACTTAAGTTTTACCCTTCTTCTAGACGTAGTACACGAGCTTCAGCGGGAAGGTTTCTGTCTCTCAACCATTTCCTTAAGTGAGAAGATAAAACTCTGCCATTTTGGGTTGTTTTGACAAGTTTCCTCTCAATGATCAAAGCATTAACTTTACAATCAGGACCAGCTTTCACCAGGGCCCTGATGCCAGACTTACTGTCAGTTATGTAGAAATCAGTTGAAAATCTCTGCCAAGAGAAAATCCTCCAACATCAGCAAACAACTTCTTTCAACGTACTAGGTTCAATATATAAAAATGTGACGTGTATTTGTTACGATTACAAGCTGTAGGAGCAAAGAGCACAGATACTCGAGAATGTTCTGATGTCATATCCAAAACATGAAAATATGCAGCCTGTTTGGGAGAGATTTTTTACCCAAAAAAATTGATTTTTTGACCGTTATTTCATTATTCTAGCCGTAATTTTTTACTTCTTCTCTCACAGGTGGACCCCACTTTTCTACTAACGGTCAAAAAATCAATTTTCAAAATCTCTCCCAAACGAGGCCATGATAATATTTCACGAGATTGCTAAAACCTCATTCCTCAGTGGTAACCAATATGCACAGTTGGTTAATGCATGAGAGTTGATGGAAATTTGAATGCCTAATAAAGGAAGAGAAATGTTCGTCAAAATGCACTATGCTAGTAAAAATCAAAAGATGTAGATTCCACATTTTCACATTTGGGAAGGATTGCAAACTGCAATGCGGGTTTACACAGTACTATGTGAAACAAGCTGGAGATTAGTATGCACTTAAGCTTCTTAACGAAATTGCTATCTATTAGCTAATCTTCTTCCCAGTCGTATCAAGAGAACCTTAATCATGAACAAGAGACCGGTGAGAAAGAAGGTAAGCACGTGGCTGCCAATAACAAGTTTACAGAGGCACACAAAGTTAAGTATACGAGCTGTAATTATTTTCAAGAACGAGTGGTTTAATACCTTGATTATATTCATGTCAACAATTTCAATTAAAATGATCCATGGGATATGTCTATCCGATATGAAGAGTTAATAATACAAGTCTCAAGAGGAGAAACACCTACTTTGGTAAAAATAATTAATATGGTACCACGAAAGCCCTATGTTGATTTAGCATATGCAGAATGAAAAAAAATGCCATATGAATGGAGCTTTCTCCAACTTGAACATCATCTCGGAGAGGAGGATTAAGTCAAAGAATCAAGACCAAAGGATGGCAAACATGAAGGCATACTTCAGCAGAGCTACTGAGCTAGTAAAAAATCTGATCCCAAAGAAAGATTTCCTATTAATATAGTTTTTTGGGAATTTTAATCAAGATTAAAATAGATGAATTAGGCAATTCTAAAAATGATGAAATCCAGCAGAAGAAAGAGAATTTCGCATACCTCAGCATATGTCAGTCTCCAGTTAAAGCACGAGTTCTTGACATCAGAGGGCTTCAAACCGGGCTCTCCAAACTCATACAACAAGGTAGATGTGTAAACGCATTGGGCAACTCTCTCATATGAAGATTCCAAAGAGACACTCCCACAGGAGACAAGCTGAATCAAAAACAAATAAAGCAATTAAATAAAATACTTGAGTGAGAAGAACAAAATTAAATCGCATTCACATCCAACGAAGACAATTGCAGAATGAGTGTCTATTTTTCTTTTTCATCTTTTTGCCACATCCATTTTCGTTGATTCAGACAGAAAAATAAACAAGGGCTAAAACACCAAAAAAGTATATGTAGAGCATCTTCTCAAGTGTTGTCTATCTAGATAGCTCAACATTAAAAAATAAACTATCCAAGAAAATTACAAATTACTTTAGAATATTAAGCCTCCCGCAAAGGTAATTATTTTTCCTCGATGCCCACAAAAGGCGCAGAAATGCAATCTTCCATGCCCATTGACTAAACACTACAGCATTTCAATTGCCAATAAACATCATCATTGCCTTCGAATTGTCAACCATTACTAGCTGTTGCTATATATGCTAAAGGAACCCCCACAAATCAGCAGCCATTGTGCAACAATGCATGCACATACCAAAGTGTGAAACATATGCCATAGAGCCAACCATCATCTTATGTTACATGATATGAAGATCACTAGAGTTAGATTATACAAAAGTGATTTTGCACTAGATTGTCAAATGTGTGCCAACTACCAATGTGCCCATGTTCTGCCTGCAAAAGGTGTGCTACGCTAGTGATAAGTTTTTTAAAGATTATTATATTAATAATTTGGAATAATTACAAATGACAAATATTTTCTAACTAATACTTTCAAAGGTTGTACGATATGTACTTATTGGTTTATATACACATAATGTGGTGAGATATGATTGGACAAATTTCTTTTAATCAAATAAATAAATAAATAAAACAAAAAGCTTCCCCACTCTCTTTTTTGACATATAATCTATAAGTAAATAGTTATGTAACTTAATTATGTACACATAGCATTATTCTACTTTCAATATAAATGTAGTATTAAAGTGATGTAACAATTTTTTCATAATTATGTTTTCATTGGAACATTTGTTCTTCATAAAGATTAAAGGTAGAAACATAATAGTAATGTACTATCTCAACCATAAAACTTGGTGCCCCTGATTGATATTGTACCACATTTTGGAATGACCATGTAGAAACTGGAACAATGAGGAATTACCTTAGGGAGAATATAAAAAATGCGTGTGAGAAAATATGTGCAGATGTGTCCCCTGTTTATCTTGTTCTACGTAAGATACTGTAGACTTTTGACTATAATTTAATTACACATGCTTAGGTTATACTGTTCTCGATCACAACTAGATAACATTATACTTCTAATTTCACCTGGAAGTATAGAATACTTATCTTGACCATAGGATTTGTTTCTAGCTCCCGCATATATGCTTTAACCATAAATAATTTTTCCTTGGTTAATAATAATTGTAGTTTTTCCAAAATCTGGGGTTCCTTAATTTATTTCCTTCCACAGTTGTTGGTATACCATCTAAGAACCATGAATTCTAATTAATAATTTTAATACCATGAGATATGGATTCGTCGATAATTTTATTTTATTTTTTATTTTTTGAAAAAGTAGGATATTTAGATATGTGTGTGTATATATTTCAGCATAATTAATTTCTTATAAACAAAATTAAAGTAGAATAGAAGCCTGACAATAAAAATAAAATAAAATACTAAAACATTTTAAACCGTGTACTTATCATGTTTACTTTCTTTGAAATTAGTAATTAATTGATACTATCTACTTATTGATAATAATAATAGTTATTTATTAAACCAAAAAATAAAAAATAAAAAATAAAAATTTATCATCTATTGCAAATAATAATGAGTTTTAAAAGACACTAAACCAACATGGAGTCAAATGTTAAGCATCCTGACCACATTTAAGCCGTTGACAAAATCCACACAACCATGCTCCCAGCATTGGGGGTAGCTTTGCTACCATCCAGGACAGACCAGTAAACTTGGAAACATAGATGAGCATAGCTCAAAATGTTCAAACTCGTATTGACAAACAATGGCTCACATTCTTAGAAGTTGTAAAAGACTCCCAATCTTGGCCTAGCCAACATAGAGCGGGTTCTAAATTGAATTTGGTATTTGTTGACACCTATTTTTAAAAAAATTATGTGGACATTGTGATTATGGGATAGAGCAAGTCCGATGATCATCATTTCAAGTCATTTGATGGAAGCTCTAAATATATACTCTGGAAAAGGAAAAGAGTAGAAAACTCTTGCTCTATTATAGTGTATAAATGCCGATACATACTCAAGTTCGATCATCATCTAATTTCATGAACACAGACAACAACAAAGTTTTTTCAGTACTTGTAACTTTCGACCAACCTGAGACTGAAAATAACGCTTTCACCGAAAAATGGCCATTAAGAATGGCCTTTTTCCTTTTACTACAATCTGAACAAACTCCAGAGGCCAAGAAGAGTCACATTACTCAAAAAACTTATTGCATGATTAATTGTTGAGGAAAGAAGAGGCTAATTCATATTCTTATCAACTACAATTGCGGTGTTTGGAAATCAATAAAAATTTTAAATAACCCAGTATTGTGTAGCTTGTTATCAGAACTTCAAACACTGGATTCAGAATTTTGGTTTAAGTCATTGCCACAATTCAAAAGCTTCTGCTATATCAATGTTCAATTTCGCACAAAAGCCACGATTTCCAAAATAACAAATCCCAATCACATTGCTTATCTTTTTGTGCAATCAGCGGGAAAACATAATTAGAAAGAACACAATGAGAAATTTCATACTTAACAACATTATTAAATTCAATGTCACAAACACTTTCTTAACACAAAATAAATAAATAAATAAACAAATAATTCTAATTAAGTAACTAAGAAACAGAGACCATTGTATAATACACACATGAAAATAAGTCCCAGAGAAATCCAAAAAAATTCACCTTTTCAAAATTAAATGCACTAAAAAAATCCTGAAAATATGAAAATGTAGTACACGAAGACTACATACCCCAGTAATCTTGACTAGCTGGCCATGAGAGGCGAGGCTGAGGTCAGAATCCGGGAAAGAGCGGAGCAAGAACAAAACGGCAGCGTTTCTAGTGAAGTTCAGTGAATTCCAGAGCAAGAACCCGGCGACAAAGACTGAAAGAAAAAGGATGATTATGAAGAAGAGGGCATTATGTACCACAACAAGTATGAAAATGGAGACCCCAAGCCCTGCCAAGAAAAGTAAAGCCAGAATGTATAGTACTACTGGTGGTATGGGCCTGCAACAATCGAGGAAGTGGTGGTGGTTTTGGGTTTTGGAAATGGCAGCTGCATTTGAGAGGTTATTCATTTCAATTTCATCCCTGTTTTCAATTTTAACTTTTCTTTGTTTCAATGTTGCCCTTTTCTTGGGATGTGAATGAAATGAAAGGGGTAAAAAATACAGAGCAGCCGCCCTTTTTCATGCTTTTTGTGCTGGGAAGAAAAATTATACTGTTTCCATAATTGTGGTCATCAAGCTTAGACTTCTGCTGAAATTGGCAAGTGTTCCCTCATTAAGGTCCTTTCCTGTTATGAGGATCACCAAAATAAGTTTTTTTATTTTTATTTTTATTTTTGAGAAAATGAGTTTTGAAATAATTTTTTTTTTGAAAAATGTGTAATCAAAAAGTAAGAAAAAATTTTGAAATTATATGTACAATATTTCATTGTGAGAATATGAGATTGAAAATGAATTCGAAAAAAAATATTTTGATGGACTTAGACTTCTGCTGAAATTGGCAAGTGTTCCCTCATTAAGGTCCTTTCCTGTTATGAGGATCACCAAAATAAGTTTTTTTATTTTTATTTTTGAGAAAATGAGTTTTGAAATAATTTTTTTTTGAAAAATGTGTAATCAAAAAGTATGAAAAAATTTTGAAATTATATGTACAATATTTCATTGTGAGAATATGAGATTGAAAATGAATTCGAAAAAAAATATTTTGATGGTTGTCAAACAGAAGTTTATTGAAATGCTAAGAAATTTAGTCTTCAACGTTTTAAAAATAAATTGGCATGTATATTACACATATTCGAGAGAAAAATGCAAAAGGTCTCTAACTTAAAACCTATTTGACAATCATTAAAATTAGCTTTTAGGGAAAATGAATTTGAGAATAGTTATTTTTTGGAGAATGTGATTAAAAAATAGGAAAAAAATTCGGGTTTATATATGGAAATTTTTTGTTAGAATGTGAAATTGAAAATGATTTTGAGAAAAAAAAAATGAGTTTTGTTTTAATGACTGTGCTAAGCAATTTAGTCTCGACATTTTAAAAAGAACAAGTTGATCTTTAACATTTCGTCCCTTTGGTTTGTTAAAAACCAAATTTTTAGTAAAATGTGGTGAAAATTGATGAAATGCGTGGTTGAAAATTTGATAAAAGTTACTAATCTTCAAAATATATGATTGAAAATGAAATTTTAAAAAATATTTAAAAAAAAAAAAGAGTCAAACAAGGACTTTATTAAAATTATAATTGCACAATTAGCTTGGAAACACGATATTAATTCAAATTTGAGCTATATAATGGCTCATGCACATTGGGCTTTGTAAATTTATGCATTACTAGTGTTTTAAAATAGTATGAACATTGCCCAAGGAAGGTTCAAGATCAGTAGTCAAAGAGTTGAATTGAAATCGAAGAGTCGATAGAAAAAATAATTGTTAGTCGAATTGGCCAGTTCTTATATATAGGGCTAACCCTAGTCCAAGCCAACTAAGTAATGGACCAGTACCTCATCCTTTTAGGGACCTAAAAAAAAAA